TTGCCCATTACCCCACCCAAGGGGCTCAGTCTGAGCCCCTGGAAACCCTCCCTGGGCTATGATTTAGGGCCTTCCTAATCAATAACATGTGTAATGAGAGGCTCTCATCATCACTGTCCCCCTAAATCAGATGAAGCAAGGTAACAAAGCTTTTATAGAGTAGTCTGGCTATAAGCACCATGGTGTTTGGAATCTAATGATCACTATAATGGCCAATTCTAATATAGCACTCTCAACTGCCAGGTACTGTTTAAGTACATTAACTCATTTACTGAGAATAACAGCCTTGTGCTACTATGTATAGGACTTGGCCTGAGGTGGGGGGTGAGTTCATTTTGCTTGGGGACTGTAACCATCTTGTTCCCCTGGATGTGCCAGCTATAGTAGGCCCAGAAGAATGCTGGTCTGGCCCCTCTCAGCTGGCCATGCAGGCAGAGAGTTGGAGGGGCCTTTCTGCAGGGTCTCAGCTGCAGCCCACCTGACAGCAGCCTGTCCCTTCAGCATACCCCAACGAGGAAGGACCAACCTTACTTGTGGCACATGCCACCTCCTCAACAATCAGTGAGTACTCGTGAGAATTACCCCCACTCCCTAAGCCATACTTTCCACTCCCACTGGGTCTCCAGAGGAATGCATCGATTCGGTTGTCTGTGCCCACTCAGGTGGTGCGAGAAAACAATTATTCTTGCTTTATTTCACAAGGGCATAATTCATCTTTCACGGATCTCAAATCCCGTTGTTTTTTTCCTCCAGGTCTTCAACGTTGGTCAGACTTGCAGCGGCAGTGAATGATTTAATGTGGCTCTTCTAGCCCAAATCTCTAACTCCCACCAAACGACCTTCCCCTGCATGGGTTGATTAAGGGAGTGGAGAAGGTACTAGTATTCACTGTGTATACTTGTGAACAGGAGTCCCTGGAATGCCATCCTGCTGTGTTTAAAACGAGTCCTCTGAGAAGCAGGAGGGAGGATCTCATCACTAGCAAGAGCCAGGAGTGGAGCAAGTCTTCTGGACCTGAGATCCCTGCAGGGTGAACCTCCTGGATCCAGATGCCTGCTATACCATCAGCGGAGCAGTAGCCGAGCCACGAGCCAGAGGTGATGGACTTCCCAGGACACGGAGCATGTTAAGCGGAGTGCATTTGTGCCAGACACCTCGTGATCACACAGGCTGGTGCGCTTC